GTGGCTTGGCTCGTCCTACTCTGGGTCGGCTATAGAATTGCCATTGCATTATACAACATTTCGCCCTTCCACCCACTCGCCAAGTTCCCTGGCCCGAAGATCGCAGCTGCCACCTACCTGTACGAAGCGTACCACGACTGGTGGCTCGGAGGACGCTATGGAAAAGTCATCGCCCGCATGCATGAGCAATATGGACCCATCGTACGCATAAACCCAGACGAACTACACTGCTCCGACCCTGCTTTCACGGATGAGATCTATGCCGGTCCTGGACGCCCACGCGACAAGTGGCAGCATCAATTGAACACTGGAGGAGCCGGACCTGTTTCAGTAACTGGATTTTCGACTGTCGACCATGACCTCCACCGTGCCCGCAAGGCTCCATTGAGCAAGTTCTTTTCGCGCCAACAGATGTTGAAGCTCGAAGGCGAAGTGCATGAATTTGCCGTAATGACGGCAGACAAGATGCTCACTTATGCCGGCAAGACCGCTTTCGATGTCAAAGAAGCGTTCAACTGCTATACTGCCGATGTCATCTCTCAGTACGCATTCGGTGAGCCCATGGGCTTTGTTGCACAGGAAGGTTGGGAGCCGAACTTCGCAACCTGGGTCAAGTCGTTCTTCAAGAGTGCGTATATGATGCGTCACAACGCATTGGGCCGAAAGATGGCTCAGGTCCTGCCATTCATGGCCGATTACCTCGGTGAAGATATCAAGGCTGTCATGCGTGTCATGAACGTAACCATTCCTCAGTACATTGGCCAGGCTTTGAAGAACCCCGAGAATGGACGTGTCTTCGCTGAGGTCATGGGCAAGAACAAGACCATGTCAGAGGAGGAGAAGTTCCGCTACAACGGTGAAGGCTTCAACTTCCTGCTTGCGGGCACCGAAACTACTGCTGTAAGTACCCGATGAATGCCATTGTCAAAGAGCCAGAGCTAACAGCAACCGCAGGCTATTCTTACTGTTTTCACGTACTGGAATCTCGCAAAGCCGGAGATTTACCAGAGACTGATGGCTGATCTCGCTACCGCTGGAATCAACACACAGACTGTGAAGTGGGTTGAGCTTGAGAAGGTGCCTTACTTCTGGGCTGTTCTGCAAGAGTGTTTGCGTATGATGCCCGGCGTGTCTCATCGATCTGCCAGAATCGCGCGTCAGGAGGACCTGCACTATGTATCCGCTGATGGCAAGTCTGACTGGGTGATTCCAAGGGGTACACCTATCGGTATGACATCCATGATCAACCACTGGAACAGGGAGCTTTTCCCCGACCCTGACGAGTTCCTTCCCGAGCGTTGGCTGTTGGTAGATGGATCGCAAAACTATGCGCTCCAGAAGAAGCTCATTGCGTTCGGAAAGGGAAGCCGCAGCTGTATTGGTGAGCAACTGGCGTACTGTGAGCTGTACATTATGGGCGCGTACATGTGCCTCAATGTTCTTCCGAGGGCGAAGCTTGTGGACACCGTGAAGGAGGACATTTCGTACGACCACGACTTGATTGTTGCGCAAACGACCAAGGGTTCCATCTCGGTGAAGATCGCGATCGAGTAGGTCGGCCACTGCGAAGATGAGGATGTTGGAAGTAGATAGGAGACTAGAAGTAATACCCGTTCAATCGTCACTACATGCGATGGGCCGAGCCGAGCTGACGCGTGATGTGTCCGCGCCGCGCGCGTTAGTGTTGGTAGCACAAGCTGACGCGTGTCGGAAGCTCCGAACCTTGGAAGGCCACTTCCGACGCTTGGCAAAAAGCGATTCGTGATTCCGCTCCGTCATCAACAGGCTGACTCAGTAGCTCGACACGGTCTCATGTCGAGTGCGCCGTCCACGCGCCAGTTGCCTCTGTAGTCTGTATCTGCAGCCTTCATCTGATACATGTCTCCGAGTACGATTGCGCCTTTCAAAGTCGTGAAGCTGGTGGTGCCACTGATATTCGATACCTATCGCTGCCGACATCGCGCGTTTGGGATGAAAGTCACACCACTCGCGTGTTGCTGACACACTCAGTGATTGCGGTCACGATAAGACTTCTTCAACTACCCAGTACCCTTGCGCAGTAGCTGCCTAACCAATGCAGCAGCAGCCTGTATGCTGCCAGCTGCCGTATAGCCGAGTGCGATCGTTGTCTCTCGACAAGCGACAACCATCACCCACAGTGCAAGCGAGCGCCCCTGTATGGCGCTCCTGGTAGCTCGCAGCATAAGTAAGGGGCGGTCTAAATGCCTAGGCGTCCAGTGTGTATTTGAACGGTGAGGAGCGCACATGATCGGTCCAAGTTTCCAAGGTTGGGTCCCGTCTACATGATCCTGAATTCGTAGATGTGGTACACGCCTCGCCTACCTACTCGCATCCCACGCGCCCCACACGTGGGGAGAAGCGTAGCGTACTGCTTTACCTTACCTACGTGTCACCAGCACGAAGCGCCCTTCATTCGGCATCACAACCTCTCGAGAGTACGGATTGAACATGTTCGTGGCATCATCCATCGTGCTTCCGTTCAAAAATTCTCAACGGTGAGCGTGACTTTGCTGCACAGTCGATGAGCCATTTTCGCACGGACTACCCCAACTCCGGCAACGCTATATCTCTCGACAAGTCTGACCCCATAGACCCTAAGACCAATCACGGCCGAGTTTCAGGGGATGCCTGGAATTTATCCATGCTGAATCTTCCATTGCGTTACGTGGAACTGCGTGAAGTGGTTGGCGATGGTTTCCTTGGACATTACCTAGGTACCTAAGTAGTTTCGAGGAGCTCGCAGACACGCCATGAGAAAACGAAAGCACCCCGCTAGCGAATGTCGGGGCGCGTAGCTCCGTTCAGCAATCCTGGTCGTGCCTTTTGGCAATCGGCAAGTGACATTGACAGCGCCCTTGAGTTCCACGGGTGGAGCGGATACGCGTGAAGCATCGCCAAGCATCGTGCTCTCTGAATAAGCTTTCACGCACTTGCTTATTGGGTTGTAGTTTGCCATGGCATATGTACAACATGGCACATGCTCTGCTATGCGGGACGTTCTATCCGCCATCTTCTCTTGTCTTCTTCGCAGCAATCATTCCGCACCTGTTAACCAATTCTGTCTGGCGGTTCCTGTTCCGACGGCGCTTCCAAACTTCTTACTGTCATCTAGCGCACGGAGACACCGCTTTTTGATAGGTGTCGCCTTCGCTTCCACCGCGCACACTGCACTTGAAGCCCTGTAGACAATTCTCAGTGGGTGACATGTGAAAGGGCAAGAGCGACACGCGGCACTCGCCCCTCGTCGCACAGTCGGCAGCATTGATCTGCAACGATCCGGATATCAGCATGGAGCTTCAACCTACCATAAATCCAAGTCCATCGGAGAGGCTAGCATATGACGTGTTGTGCGGCATTTTAGTCAAAGACGGGCGGTTTCGAGAAGAGTGACATTTACACAGCCCCGTTCTTGGCAGGTCGAAATCCAGACGGTGGTCGCCGCTAACTACACGGCCAGCGGACCTCAAAATGCTCGCGCACTCTCTTTGACCCACGAAATTTCATCTTTTAGGGTCTCGCATCCCTCGAGTCTCAATGGTTCAGGATGTCTTCTCGCTGCACAACATCGTCGGCCGCGACGAGAGCGCATTTCCGTTTTCCCTCAAGGACTACCAGAAATACGTATTTGGCGACGACCGACTAGCGCATCGCTTGGGCACGGACCTAGCTCGAGCCTTCATTCCCACCATCTCGAACCCTACAGACGACTTCGCAGTTGCCGTGCTATCCGAAAAAGTCCCCACGGCCACGCATAGCCTGCGCAACCACTTTGTGGCTTACCTCAACCGGCACCTGATAGCGAATAACGCAACCCCGGCCCTCAAAATCGACTTTCACGATGCGGGGGTGAACGCACATGCGCGGAACGGTCCGGATTGCAAGAAAAAGGGCTCATATCACATCGATGTGGAACGCCTGGGGAGCAGGACTCTGATAGTACTGGCTGAGATCCGAACGAGCCAAGACCGCGAAGACCGGATACGATCGTCGTTCGGAGACCGTGGCATAACGACTGTCTTCGCCTATCTTGCATCCCTCAGCGGCTCCGCAACAACTGCAGCCATCTCGTCCTTCTTGTCCCAAGTCGTCAGTCCATCTATGAGAGACATCGAGGAAATTGCGCATGCCACGAAATTCGTCATGAATGAATGCTTTGTTCAATTCGTGCTGGGGAGGGAGTACGCAGAGTTCTGCAAATTCATAAGACGACAAGACGACTACTTCGCGAGGGAGTTGTTAGATCACGCTATCGGTGGTCACTACTACAACCATGAGGATTACGAACATAATGTACAGTTTCTGATATGGGAGACCGAGGCGCGGGAAAGCGTTTAACGACGGGATCGTGTGCGGTAGCACGGTAATGGCGAACGGCGACGGACTTGACGAGCGACCGCGATGATAGCGTTTTCTCGACCACTTTTGTACATCCTCTTATATACCCAAACTGGTCACTGTCATCAATTCTTGCAACTCCAGGTCCGATTTTCGCAGTCGTAACTGCTCTCCGATTGTCATCCCATCTGCACACATTCAACAAACTCACCATTGAACAACTCATCCATGCATGCATCTTTCTAGATCATGAGGAGTACTTCTTTGAGTCATTGTCGTCAGTCTGCATTGTCGTGTGCGGCCTTTCATATCGGGACGTTGAGTGCGATTCTTTGTCCGCTTTCTACTCCACTACAAACATCACAAGCACACCCACTCCAGGCTACACACAGCTAAAACAACTTTTCTAATCCGCTGAAGTATAGCACGACGTCTGCGACGAATCTAGAAACATGCCGTTACAATCGCATAATTACGCACCCAGCCAAGTGCACTCCAGCCCGCAAAGACGAGGAAGCATCAGCCATTCTCAGGATCTACCCTTCTTAGATCGATCGTGTTACTACGAGAAGGACGACGCATCGAGTCAGAGTACTGCGAGTACAACATACGCTTGGAAACATGAGAGCGGATCTGCAAACTCAATGTCACAATTGGAGAGCACGTTAGGAGACAGCCAACAACCTCTGCTTCAATCCATCAAATCGTATTCGGTAAGAAGTATTCACGCAATCAGAACATCTGAGGTCACTTTGCTAACCATCATCAGCTCCACATCCTAGTAGCCATAATCGTTACCCTGTTCCTCTTCGAAATCACCGTTCGCCTACCCTTCCTCCTCGCACTCACCTTCGCGATCCCCTACGTCCACATGATGCTCACTCCAGAGAAGCCCACGCTAAACTCTGCGTCGTATGAGAGTGATTCAGAGGAAGGTCTTTGCCGTCGCTCATCCACCTTCTCAATTGTCCCCGGCGAACCTATTGCCCAGCAAAAAGCTCCAGCAACATTGGGCCCAATCAACATCACCTTCCCCGGATTGACTCTCTTCTTGCCATCGACATGGTTTCCAAGCGCGACAGACCCAGGACGACGTAGAAGACAATGCTTGCACACCACGTACCGCGAGTCTGCATACCAACCCCGACGCACATTCCGCGAGGCATTGGAAGACACTGGACCCAGGCTGCTGAGAAGGTGCGGTGCGTTTGCACTTGAGACTTTGTGCTTTCAGATTACTTCTCGGCTTATGATGCGTATGGCACAGGTTGCATACGAAGCTATGTCTGGAGAAGAGATCAACGACAATTTCGTGCATATGTATGTTATGCACGTTTTGCGCTTCTATAAAGACTGGACTGTGGGCCTCAGCTCTATTACTTGGTTTATTGTGAAGAGGATTGTTGGGAAGACATTGCTGTCGCTGGGGAAACAGACTGTGATGGCCGCTGGCGGCGTGAAGGATACAAGATTGGAATATGAAGATGCGAACACAGTGCAGTTCTGAAAGAAACCGAGGCCTGAGGCGGGAAGAGGGGATAAGGATTATGCTATGGAGCGTATGACAGGGGTTCCTGTTGCTCAATGTTTGGCGCCAATGGGCGAATAATGTGATCAATAACAGTCGTTTGGATTACTCACTTTTAGCGCTTCAATGTGCTGCCAGCGAAACATTGACTGTTTGACTAGCATGTCTCTGACATAGCTCTACTCAATGTCTTTTCCTTCAATGCTGATCGTACCCATGCAGCAACTCCACGCACAGTGCTGTTGTGATGTATTTCCTTTGACCAAATTCGTGATCAACAATGCCAGCCATGCGAATATTATCAACACCGCAGTCATGATCTGTATGATCACATACGTCCCCATCAATACCGTGTTCACGAAAAAAACACTAGGATTCAATAAGTCTCCGCTATATAGCGGCACTTCATTGCCACCCATTTCAAACCTCGAGCAACATATCTACGTAATCCCAGTGTCCTCCTTTGCACATTGCCATTCTCGCCAGATATACTCTACCTCCGGGAAGCATGAAGCTGATCAATCTAGCAACATCAATAACGCTGTTCACCACAGCCTCAGCACACTCATGGCTGCATTGTACCAACCACAACAACACCGGTATAAAAGCCGACATGGCAGCTGCGGCACTTGCAACGCCACAGGCGCCGGTTGACCCGCTGTACGTATCTACCCTCTGCTCACACGTACAATTGAAGGAAATTAATCCTCTCACAGCATGCCAGCTTTCGCAAACCTATGCCACGGCTGGCCGCGTGGAAAGCAAAATCCAGGCGATTGGAGAGACGAAGGCATAGAATGTGCGTGTACCCCTCTTCCTCCTCTCTTACACATCCCCACTAACAACATCCAGATATATGGGATCTCCCCGCCGCAGCCTCAAAGGGGGACACGCATGCCTGTCACCCCAGGCAACGCGCGCCAGCCCAATACCTAACTCCTACGATCCCGCAAGAACCTGGTAGCAAGCCACCCCACCACGACGCGCCGGCCCCAATGGCGACTGCCGCACCCGGGTCATCCATAACACTCATGTTCGGCGGCAACGGGCACAGCCGGGGTAATTTCGGTGGCGTGGAAAAGGGCGATCCGGGAAGGGTCTCCGTGTACTGGGCTGGTAGTAAAGAAAAGGAGATTGTGGATGTGAAGGAATTAACAAAAGAGAATCTTGTGCAGGATAATGGGTTTAGTGAAGAGAGCTTTGCGTATCCGGCGGACTTGAAGATTACGGCGCCGCCGGCGCTGCAAGATAAGGGAAATTGGCAAACGGTACATTTGTAAGTCCATCTTCTTTTCGTTGGTGCTGTTTTGTTAGGAGCGGGGACAGATGTGATCGGAGGAGTTCCCTGCTAACGTTCTGGTATAGGCCAGAGTGTATGGAGAAGGGTCGGCATATGATGGTATGGGTGTGGAATTTTGATGGTGCGAACAAGTACAGTACTTGTTTCGATGTCATGATTGAATGAGAAAGAGAGGACCACTGGGCGAGAAGATACATCAGATTGGTGACACAGAGTCAGGCAATGTATGTCCCTCTACCATTAGTGCTTTGCTTCTCTTTGCCCACTCGCTGTGCCTGCTTCTCCTCTCGCATGTGCAGTCGCATTGCTGTGTTCGACCAACTTCAACGGACGATATTTTGCATCCCACATCTGCTCTCTGATCCACTCCTCTAGATCTGCATCGCCACTTGGTATATCCTTCTCTTGGGCCAGATCATCCTCCACAGCCTTCTTGATCACACTCTTCGCAATCTGGACGCTAATTTCTCGCACGTCTTCGACGTCTGGTAAGAGACCGGCTCCGCGGTTGTTCAGAACAGGAGCCTCCGAGGCAAGGGCTTGTACAGCTGCGACGAGGAGAGCGGGAGTCATAAGGCGGGTTCGGGAGAGGACAGCACCGAGGCCGATGCCAGGGAACGTTACCGAGTTGTTACATTCAGCTTGGAGCGGTCAGCAACATCATTACGGAACGAAAATTGTAGACTCACAGATATCGTATTCATTGCCATTGTGCTTGACCGGTGGAAATGGCGAACCGGTTGCCACCAACGCTTTGCCATCGGTCCAGTCGAATAGATCCTGCGGCTTGGCCTCATGGAGTTTGGTTGGGTTCGATAGTGGGAATATGACAGGGCGCTCGACGTGCTTCGCCATCTCTCGAACGACGTCTTCTGAGAACGACCCTGGCTTGGTCGAGGTACCGATGAGAACGTGTGGCTTCACCTCCTTGATGACGGACAGAAGATCGCCATGTTCTTTGCCCTCCCACTCCTTGTCCTCTCGCGCAAACGGAAGTTGGGCCGGAGTGAGCTGATCCTTCTTGCCTTGTAAAAGCAGACCAGGCTTGTCGACGCACCTATACTGGGGTCAGCGTGGGCTCCTGGACTGAGTGTGTAAAGAAGCATACCAAATTTGGCGCCCGGCTGCTTCCTTCGACTTCCCGGTGTTCTGGACGATGGCATCTTGGATCTGGTCCGCAATTCCCGTGCCTGCCGACCCCGAGCCAAACATGACGAAGCGAGCTTCTTCCCATTTGGTTCCGCTTACTTTGAAGGCTGCCATGATAGCTGCAAGCGTTACGCAGCCGGTGCCTTGTACGTCGTCATTGAAACATGCGATCTCAGGTGTGTATTTGTCTAGAATCCTCCGCGCGTTGTTCAATCCGAAATCCTCGAAGTGGATGTAGGCTTTGGGGTAGTGTTTTCTCGCAGCCTTTACGAACTTGTCGACGAAGTCATCGTATCGCTCGCCGTATACTCGCTCTTTTCGCATGCCAAGATAAAGCTCGTCGTTGAGAAGGTCTTTGTTCTACTCTCGTTAGCGATGCGCATCTGATTCGGGTCTCTCTACTGACATCGGTGCCGCAGTCAAGGACCACAGGGAGTGTTCGCGAAGGATGTATACCTGCGCACAGAGTGTAGATGACGAGCTTCGCTATGCTGATGAGGATGGCTCCTACACCCTGATCGCCAATGCCGAGTATCTGTTGCCCGTCGCTCACGACTATCACATCGATATCGTCGGGATTTCCCCATTGCTTGATATCGTCCTCGACGCGGTCTGCATCGTCAATGTTGAGGAAGCAACCTTCAGGGCGCCGGAAGATCTTGGAATAGTCGGCAATGGCCTCGCCCTCAGTGGGGGTATAGATGACCGAAAACATCTCCTTGAGGTGGTCGAGGATGAGCTGCAGCCGTCAGCCATGCCATGCCATGACCGACACTATCAACCGTCGCATACCCTGTAGTATAATACTTCGTTCTGCTCCTTCAGACTCGTCATGAAGGTGTTCTTGGCGAGGTCATTCGGTCGGGAGCAATACTGGGCGTATGCGCGCTTGACCTGCTCGTCGAGGGTCTGGACGTTGGTGGGAAGGAGCCCATGAAGCTTGAAGACATCGCGCTCTTCTTTGGTGAAGGCCGAGCCCTTGTTGAAGTAGGGTGTTCGTAGAAGTGCATTGCCCTGGACAGTGTGTTAGTCGTATGGCTACTAGAGTGGGTGGGCGTGTAGTACAGTCAGGCTAGTCTCCTGTGGTCCAGACGTAGACAGAGGCAGATGACCGAACTTGGCGTTCTTTTGCTGCTTTGTATCAGTCGACATATTTGCGATGGGTCTGCCGCAAGCGATGCGCGCAACTCGAGAGACGTGACTGGGTAATGGCTGGAATGCGGGCAGGCCGACGTGATCCAGAGAGGCATGCAATGTTAGCAGAGGCTAAATGTTAGTGTCGTAGAGATCACAGTCTCATATTGGAGGTGGTCTATCGTCCTCGCTGGCGGCGACAGCCTGTTGAGAAAGGCGTTGCGCGTCGCGGTTTCGGCATGATGACGTCGACGTGAAGCTATCAGGTGCCGGACCCTGCAGCGCAGAGGCTAGACCGTTCAGACGTTTTTGCTGCATGAGGAAGACACGCCGCTTGACGAGTCCATGGGACATGGGCATGCACAGATATCTGATAGTAGGCAACGAGAGCGCGAAGTTTGCCCAGGTGGTCACGAAACGACCCCGGACGGCTGTCTTCGCGCACGCGGCACGTGCTGGCACCTGGGCAGTTAGTCGCAACCACCACTCCACTCTCTTTTCTTTCTATTCGACTTGACCCCGCAGCGAACAAAAAACACAACGGCGTTATCCTTCGTCCCTCAAAGATTCAATCGACTGACACTATCTTCATCTCCATACCAATCCCTATCCAAAGCTGACAAGCCACCCAATCGGACTTACTTGCTCCAGCACCTCCTTTATTTGTTTGCCTTCTTGAACATGCTGTAAAAAATCGGGCTCTCGTCGAGTAACACCGCTCTCCATGTTGTCTCATTTGTAGAAACCATTTCTTTTGTCTTGGATTAGGTTGAGTTCGTCTCGCGAATGGTATCTACGCGAAGTCGCGCTGGTCGACTACATTACCTACTTCGTTGCTGTATCAGTCTCGTAATCTTCTTAGCCGAAGTTAAGGAGAATGACTTTAGGATCAGCTCAAGACACATTTTGAACTACTTTACATTGCCAGAGCAGGCACGATTGGAAGGACTCAGTAAGAGCTTGGAAATTACAGGAACTCTTAGAGCATCCTTGAAGTGGCTCCTCCAGTGGGGATTTATAGACCTGTCACGATGGAGACTACAGCTCCAGCTCCAGGTCGGCCTTTTCAGGAGCGACCTCGGGATGCGTGGCAGGCCGACGCAGTCTGGAAGGCGCAATCGCATAGTCGCCTCCTGCCGTGAGCACATTTATCTCCTACCGGATGAGGATAACAGCCCTTAGCGGTCTAGAAGACTGAAAAGTCCAAGCTCAACAGGCTCAACAGGCTCAACGCGGGCGTGCTTGCTGTATGAAGTTTCTACGCTAGCTACCCGCATTCTGGGGAAGCAGTCGCACACAGCATATAATCCCCCGTTTCTTCTCCTTGCTGAAGATCCACACCTTGCTTTCGCTCACAATCATCAACTGCTTCAGACTTTCCATCACACTCAGTACCGCAATCTCCATTACATCCAGCAACCAAGCACCAAGTCGCAGACATGAAGGCTACCACCATCATCGCCACTCTCCTCTTCGGAACAACCATGGCCGCCCCTGGAGCTGTAAGTTCTAATCCCCATGTACCATCACCCTGTTTGAGACTATTACTGACAGTCACTTCCCAAAGATCTCCCTCAAGCGCTCCTTCATCGAGGCCGACACTGGCATTGATGGCGGCGGTGCCACAGTCGCCGATACTCTCACGGCGTGTGTCGAGTGTCCATGCAACGTAGGTTATCTCCTCTGCTAGCTATCGCAGAACGAATAATACTGTACCTGGCTGATGAACATGCGTCTAGGGTTTCTACGGTGGCTGCACATGTGTCGTCAACGGCTGCTGTCTCCAGAAGAACTGCACTTGGCCTCGTTCTTGAGGGCTACTTTGTCACTACAAGACCGGAATGGACGCACCCTGAGTGAAGTCTTCTGGGGTGCAAGTATGTGGATATATAAGGGATGGATGCACGACTTCACGGCAAACGACAGGATATAAGGATCATGGATATATGTCTCAAACTATACGACTAGGCAGTGACAATGCCTGAGACTCAATCAAGAAGATGTTTTCAAACTTCGTTGTCCACTCGTCTCGTAACAAGGGGGTGATGCAAACAGCAGTACCCACCAACATATTCAAGGCGGTATACTGCCCGAGGCCATCGTGAAAAGAGATGACAGCCAGACCAAAGACCGGACAACGATTGCGAGGGCGCTGACCACGGCCGTTGTCTAAGCCTTCCAGCCACCCTCAGGCACCTCGACATGGCCGTTATCATCACAGCAGCATCCCCCCGAGACGCATTCACAAGCGCCAGTAAAGCCCTGGAGGCGCCGTCAGTAACTCTTGATAATACTCCATGCGCCGCCCTTGCAGAGGAAAAGGCCGACGACGAGGAGACTTACTCCACATGGACACTCGATACAGGCAACTTGCACAGTACCCTCGACGTTATCGTTGTCGCGAACTGCGATGGTCTTGAAGGAGCGCTTGAGAGAGACCTGGCAGGATGGTGTCAATAAAGTCTTTAGGCCGAAGGTATGAAGAGACGTACAGCTCCAGGAGCGGCTAGGACAGTGGCAGTGTAGAGCAAGGTACTGATGAAGAGGGCGAACTTCATCTTGACTTGGTGTTTCGAGAGGAAGTAAATTGGTGTACTCGGTGGTTGTTTGGGAGATGCTTAGAAGAGTCGAGGAAGTCAGAGTCGTCACTTTATGGGAAACGAGATTGTGGCGGAATGGCTAAGTGAACTTGGAGTG